TTTACTTATTTGAATAAGAGGCATTCTTATTCTTTTTCCCCATTTCCTTGACAAATAGTACTCACTGAAAACTGGGAACGCTATTTTTAAGGTTCATCTTTTCTTGCTTTGCTATTGAAAGTACTAATCTGTGCCATTAGGAGGGGAGTAAGAACTTCCATTAATCTTACCATCTACAAAATCCACCAACAGAAGTATAGTTTAATCTTTAACTTTTGTGCTAAAAATAATTTGGGCAGATTCATTTAAATTTTATCAACAAAATTACTGCCATGTGATGTATTACTTCTGGTGTTTGCACAAAGCATCACCATGCAGAAGGATAATCCTATTACCTTACTCCTTGCAGTTAAAAAGAAGAAAAAACTATGTACTTCAAGCCAGGATTTTCAAATTCTAAGCCTAACACCCTACTCTTACATTTAAAATTTAGTCTTCTTTGTGTCCATGTATAAAAATGAATAAATTTGAAAATTACTAAATGTTACCCTCAGATAGGCTTTATGTTCTTCAGTAAATTAAAGAGAGATCTATCCCCATGACCTTTGAGCCTCTACTTACTGACAGTTTTGGTTTAACTTATTTAAAACATGTTTTAAATATTTATTTATCTCATACTTTTAGTGTCTCATACAGAAAAGCCATTTAGAGAATAATTTATAGAGTTAAGTCATTTAATATGTAATTTTTTAAAACCTGCATGGAAGCTAATGTATTTAACAAGTACAGGCATACCTTGGAGATACTGTGGGTTTGGTTCCAAACCACTACAATAAAGAAAATACCATAGTAAAGTGAGTCACACAAAATTTTGGTTTCCCTCTGTATATAAAAATTATGTTTACCCTATATTATAGTCTGTTAAGTATGCAATATCATTATGTCTGAAAAACAATGCACATATCTTAATTAAAAAATACTTTATTGCACCCTGGCTGGTGTGGTTCAGTTGGTTGGGTGTCAGGAACCAGCCTGAGAAATGAACAAACCTGAGGTCCAGAGGTGGGAATGAAAGAGACGAAGTTATGGGATCAGGAGGACTGTCCTTGACAAGGCACAGCCCCAAATGGCTTCAATGCCTTTTTTATATAATAAGTGACAATTGATAATGAGGTGAGCCTGATACAAAGTAGTTCCTTCAACACTCTTTCAGAGTAAACATCCTGCTTCCTGCGTGAGCCCAGACCTTGGTATTTCCTTATCTCGGATAGCAAACCCCCTCAAGGGAACTTCAGACCCTCAGGTGATGTGGACCATGTCCAGACACATCACCGGCTCCTAACAGTTGGGCATCATCCTGTGCACTGAAAGGTTGCAGGTTTGATCCCCAGGAGGGGACATGCAGGAGGCAGCCAATCAATGTATCACTTTCACATGGATGTTTCTCTCTCTCTCTCTCTCTCCCCCCCCTTCTCTAAAATCAGTAACATCTTTAAAAAAAAAAAAATTACTGCTATGAAATGCTAACCATTATCTGAGCCTTCAGCCAGTCATAAACTTTTCGCTGGTGGAGGCTCTTACCTTCAATTTGTAAAAAACTCAGTATTTGTGAAGTGCAATAAAGCGATGCTCAGTAAAACAAGGTATGCCTGTAAATTATACTTTAGTGTGTAGTATTAACCTATACCCATTTTAAATTATGATTAGAGAATGGGGATTTTTTTAGAAGAACTGTCTTGCTGCAGAACTTTTTTTTTTTTTAATATGACCACAATGTAACTCTCAGAATGCTCAGGAAATAGCATAAAACCTCATTGTTGTGCCAGGAGACTTTTATAGCCACAGCAATAGAGATATTAATTCACATGCATGCAGGCAACTCAAACTCAAGTGGAGAATTTGTTGTGTTTGTGAACAAGTCATACTATACATGTTCTGTTATTTGCACGAAGGGAATCAGCAGCATCTTTTCCATGGGAGACATTGAAAGAAAAAAAAGAAAACGGGGTCAAAATGATCTGCAGTTTCTGAAAATGAAGGCTTTTAAGAGATGTTTTTAGGATTAAGGATATGCTAATTTTATTAAATGAAAATATTTGTAACTTTTACTCTGTCACTGACAAAGCAAGTTTCTCAATAAAATATCTATTTTAACTTGCATTGCCAATGTCTTTTCTTTGAGTAATCTGAATAATGCAGAAGCCATCATCAAGGTCTTTTCTATAAGTTTTTAATGTTTTCTTAAAGGGTCTCCTGAGATTGTTCTATTCTTTGTGACCCATGGGACCTATACACAGGGCCTTGCTCCGCTGTGCACTCAGTAAACACTTTTTATTTACTCAATTTGAAATTAGGGTCCTTTTCACATATTTCATAATTTTTAATATGCAGGGTCACAGCTGATACAATTTTGATAAAAATCTGCCACTTGTGTACTAATCTTCAGCATGATCATTATTTTCTTTGTTCTCAGTGAGCAGTTCCATGACTAGCTTGTGCTTAAACATCCATGTTTTTAAAATAAGGTAAAGTGTGCTTGGCATTTTCAGAATAGTGATTAATGATTGGTAAGTTTCTAAAAGCAAGAAAAATGTGAAACTGTTATTTAGCATGTTTGTTTTCTATGCAGCAGAATATAGCTCTTAGGTTTTGTCCCTTCAAATTTCACATTATGTAAAATACTATATTAATTTAGACCCTGGACATAGGTAGGCAAGTGATGAATGGTGGTTGGAAACACAGTTCATGATCAGAAATGTTATCACCAGTCTTCAGGAAAAGATAGAATGATAATTTTCTACAAGTGGTATGATAAAAGCCTGAAGTAATTAATTAAAAAGAGAAAACGTTCACTCTGTAGAACCTGTTTCTGGCAAATTTTTTAAGTAGGCACTAAATTTATGAAATCCTAGCCCTGCATACTTATTTCTAAGGCAAAATTTTTGGTTGAAGATTAATATATAAATTAATGCTTTCATCAAAGATCAAACTAGCTTTCTCTAAGTTACTCAGTTTATTAGATTATTTCCTTGATTTATTACATAATTGTAAATAATAAACATCATTTAAGGGAAGACCCCCCCCCAAAAAAGCTTAATTTTAGCTACTATATATTTTAAGAAACACATGAAATTTAAGAAAATCTTAAATTTTCTAAAATATACCACAAGGCATTACTTACCCACTTAAGTAACAAAGCCCAAATACCATACTGGATTTACAGAATGAAAGTGTCCTAAGCTGTTTAATAAATTAATTTGCATGTCCTTATAATAATCCTTGCCTTTTGCAGGGGCCTCCTTATTCCTATTCTGAATATGGAAAAAGGCAACAGGTTGACCTGAGGCTTATCAAAGGCTATCAAGTTGTACAGATTGATTGTCTACCTAATTTTCTTAACTTTACAGATGAGGACTGTATGAATTCTTTCCATCAGTACTTGAATGTTCATTTAACAAAATACTTATTGAGCTTGTACAGACACAGTGTTGAACACTGAGCGTGCAACTAAGGGGAAAAATATGGTTCCTGTCCTCATAAAGCTTCTATTCTACTATGAGAGACAGATGTTCAACATATATAGTAACACTTGTGATCAGGATCACGTGGCTCTGAGCATGTGTAATAAGACACTTGACCAGGTGATGTGCAGAAAACTTCCTTGAGGAAGTCATGTTTCAGCAAAACTCTAAGGATAAAAAGAACTACTTATATAAAAAGGAGCAAATAAAATGAACGTGCCAGCAGAGAGTGCAGACATGATATAGAAACTGGACACGTTCAGGTAACTGAAAAACAGCATAGCAGAAATTTTCAAAAACACTGGTGGCTTCTGGTGAAGATGGCAGCTTAGGTAAACGTGGTACTAGAACCCTCCCACAACCACGTCAGAATTGCAACTAAACTACAAAACAACCGCCTGAACCGCCTGAAATCTAGCTGAATGGAAGTCCTATAACTAGGGATTTAAAACAGGAGCCACATCAAGACTGGTAGGCAGCCTGGCCAGACTGGCTCAGTGGGTTGAGCAGCATCCTGTGCACCGAACAGTTGCCAATTCGATTCCAGTCAGGGCACACCTCTGGGTTTCACGTTCATTCCCTGGTTGGGGCATGTACAGAAGGCAACAAATCAATGTTTCTCACATCGATGTTTCTCTCTCTCTCTCTCTCTCTCTCTCACTGTGTGTGTGTGTCTCCCTTCTTCTAAGCATGTCCTCAGGTGAGGATTGAAAAACAATAAAGACTGGCAGGCAGGCTAGAGATGCTGTATGACTCTAACTATGATATTCTGGAAAAGGCAAAATGGAGACAATAAAAAGGTCGGTGGTTGCCAGGGGTTAAGGGGAGGGATGAAGAGGTGGAGCACAGAGGGTTTTAGAGCAGTGAAGCTGCTCTGTGTGATACTGTAATTGTGGATACGTGTCATTACACATTTGTCCAAACCCACAGAAAGTACAATGAGTGAACCCTAATGTAAACTATGGCTTTGGGGTGATAATGTGTCAATGTAGGTTCATCAGTTGTAACAATCGTACACTCTGGTGTGGGATGCTGATAGTGGGGTGGTAGGAGGGAATGGGACAGGGGGATACAGGAGCTCTGTACTTTCTGCTTAGTTTTGCTCTAAACATAAAACTGCTCTAAAAATTAAGGTGGTTTTTTTTTTTAAGTTTTAGGAGGGAAATTCATTATTAAATTTACAGTTTTAATAGATCACTCTGGCTGCAGTGATTCATGTGGATGGAAATAAAGAAGAAATAAGGGTGTAGAACAGTTAACTGCAGTTGTCTAGGTGAAAGATGGTGCTAGTTTGGTCTCAGGCGGTGTCGAAAGAGAAAGTGAAAATGAGCTGGCCTTAGAGGAATAAGACTCAAGTATGTGTCCCTGGATAAATCAATGAATTGCTTACCCTTAGTTCCTCATGTATTAAAAAAGAGGGAGGTATATTAAAAGGGGGGAGGTATATGGAGTTTGGCCAACAGTCTTCATGATTTAGGGAGAACCTATTACTGAATCACATGTTAAGACAAACAGAATTAACTGAGAACTTGACACAGCTATCTTTTCTTTTTTTAATGGCAGCCCTGTATTAAACAAGAGCAAAATCAGGAAGATTATGGTTTTTATGAGAGAACTTTAAAAAAACAATTTCCTGGGTACTTTTAAAATATATCCACTACTTTAGTAATAATCCTAGTTGCAATGATAGTGACTAATAAATATGATGTAATCAAATACCTAACATGGACATTTCTAGAAACCAATAAATATATATGTTATTTTGAGTTGGATTTTTCTTTTGTTTATATTTGCAACTTTGAGTCTTTCTTGGTAATCTCAATATAATTTAACAAAGTTTTATAAACTTTGAGCAGAAATTATTATTCATTTTTAATGTTCACGATACATTATACATTAAAATGTTCTTAATGTTCATAATACACTAATAATTCTATTTCATTCTTACTATCTCCTTCCTATTCCTGTTTTCACTAAGTGAACAGAAGTAAAAGATGAGAGAAATTTGAGACACAGGAATGGTATCTCCTAAGGTCTTGGTTCCCTATCCCATTTCCTAATTTCCCAGACAAGCTCTTCTAAAAATATTAACATAAAAGCCTACAAAGGGGTATGGCCAAAAAAATGCTAGATAATTAGAGCTAAAGGCCCCACTGGCCATCCAAGTCTTGACATAGAGCATATTTGAGTTTAATAAAAGTACATTTGCAGAATGAATACACTATAATAAGACTTAATATGTAAATCTGAACACTTAGTTAGAGCTCGTTAATAGTTGCCTAAAGCACAAAAAAACTCACTATGTGACACAATATTTTTCATTACTAAAGAAATATTTTCTTTCTGGTAATTGAGAGGGCAATATATAATTATAATAAACATAAATCCATGCATTATTTTAGTGTTTCATGCTTTATGCAGAATTAAATATGTGATTTGTAAAAAGTTATTGTAGCTACAAAAAAACAACAACACAGGTCAGTACCTGATGTAACAGCTGGCTATCCCATGATGTATGTGTCTAATTTCAATGTTATTTTCTTTCTCTATATTTCAGCAAGTATATGCAGTTTTAATAGGTAAGCTATCACTTGAATGACACTAAAGAATAATATCTGCTCACACTATGTTTATGTCATTTACTAAGGTGACTGATTCTGACTTTGAGGAAGACTGCTGACCATTTATATAACTGTTATGAACTAATATTTGACTTATAAATTCGAATTTCATCTTTAGTACACTGAGGAAAAAGATTAACAATTTTATCCACATCTAGATGCTTGTTTTGAAGGATTGATTCCATCTCTTTGAATAGTTCTTTCTCCAGTTTCCTCATGTTGTCCAACATTGTTTTGGCTTTTTCCTGAACAATTAAAAATAAAAATAAATAAACACACACACTCACAAGTCTGACCAACCTCTCCAGACAAGGTTTGTTCATCCTGGTTTCTACTTCTGGTTTGGTTCCCCTCTGCCTATTCTTTAGATATAGAAGGAATAAAATTCTTTCGGAAAAAATCATTGCTCTAAGATTGAGTTAATTTATTAACTCCAAATTGTTAGTTAGTTTTAGTAGAAAAGACAAGGATAATTATGTAAGATTAGTCTATAAGCAAGAAACCTAAAAGACAAATAATAGGACAGTTGAAAATCTGGTATTACTTATATGGGAATGCTGCTAAAAATTGGGGCTGAGTTATTTTTATAAATTTGGATCTTCTATATTTAAAAATAATATTATCAGATTACACAAAGGAAATATAACAATAATATTCAAGGGAAGGAGCAACTAAAAGGAAAGTTACTATAAACTGAGCATAATTTTAAAAATTTGAACCATTATGGGGTAGAATACCACAAAACAAAGATTCTTAACCTTAACACGGACTTCAATATAAAACTGTATGCAATTTTTTTCTGAAGAAATTTCATTTCATATTAGTGAAGAAAAAAATACATTTGCCTATAAATGGTATTAAAATAATTGGTCACCTCTTTGGAAAACAAAGTTAGAATCCCTACTTTATAGCATATGCAAAAATAAATTCCAGATGAATTAAAGAACTAAATATTTTTTTGAAGAATATACAGAAGTTATAATTATCTTCAGGTGAGGCAGGCCTTTTGAAGCCTGAAGTCGAGATACTTTCAAGGAAAAAACTAACAAGTATAATTGACAAAATTTACAATTTTTCACAAAAAAGTCAAACAACAAATAGAGATTAAAATTTTGAAATATAACAAAGACTTACTATTCACATAGTTTGCCTCTTTGACTCAGAAGACAAAAACAACCAAGAATCAATTGAAAAATTAGCTAAGGAAAAGAATAGGCAAGTCTCTTAAGAGGAAATACTAATGGCCAATAAACATAGGAAATTTTCAACTTCATTAGTAATCAAGAAATGTAAATTAAAACTGCAAGTAAGACTAAGGAAAAGAATAGGCAAGTCTCTTAAGAGGAAATACTAATGGCCAATAAACATAGGAAATTTTCAACTTCATTAGTAATCAAGAAATGTAAATTAAAACTGCAAGTAAGACTAAGGAAAAGAATAGGCAAGTCTCTTAAGAGGAAATACTAATGGCCAATAAACATAGGAAATTTTCAACTTCATTAGTAATCAAGAAATGTAAATTAAAACTGCAAGTAAGACTAAGGAAAAGAATAGGCAAGTCTCTTAAGAGGAAATACTAATGGCCAATAAACATAGGAAATTTTCAACTTCATTAGTAATCAAGAAATGTAAATTAAAACTGCAAGTAAGACTAAGGAAAAGAATAGGCAAGTCTCTTAAGAGGAAATACTAATGGCCAATAAACATAGGAAATTTTCAACTTCATTAGTAATCAAGAAATGTAAATTAAAACTGCAAGTAAGACTAAGGAAAAGAATAGGCAAGTCTCTTAAGAGGAAATACTAATGGCCAATAAACACAGGAAATTTTCAACTTCATTAGTAATCAAGAAATGTAAATTAAAACTGCAAGTAAGACTGACTCTCCTTAAGACACAAAAGTAGTTATTTTCAGAGCCAGGACTAGAACCCAACACTTTGTCACTTCTACCCTCAAATTCCATTGTGTTTCCACTACTATGTGTTGTCAATCAATATTTCATACCCATGAAATAAAGCCTAAAATAGTAAAAACTTTTAAAATTTTACTTCAGTATTACTTAGGAAAATGTCAATCAGCAATTTAATTTAGTTTAACAAACATTTAATAAGTCTACCAAACTCACCTCCCAGAAGCAGTATTGAGGGGGAAAGGAAGCTGACAACTCTTGAGAACTAACAAGCAATTTGGGCAGTGGGGAGGCTACTCAGGGAGGAGGCGTGAGGGGAAATCCCTCCAGAGCAGGCGCTCTTGAAACATATCACTGAGGAACTGGAGCAGAGGCAGGAAAAACCAGAGGCCTCATCATATTTCACAGCACTGTGTTGAATCGAGGATAAACCAAGCCAGTGGGTGATACCTCTGGCCCAGTGGACTGTGGGCTCCCATCAGCACACAGTGGACTCCTAGAACAAAACGCTTGCCTCTCACCACCAGGCTACAAAAAAGTATTTACACTGTAGGTCAGAAGTGAAAACAAACTGCACCCAGGTAAAGCAAGAGTAGTGTCAAGAATTCATAGCAAATAAGAGGTATGGACAGAGCCCTCTGCTTTAAGCATAAGCAAGATGGGGGTGGGAGAAGGCATGGCAACTCTGCAAACATACTACAGACAAAAGTAAATAGTCACCCAGAGGAACAAGCACTTAATTCATTTAATGTAGAGAGAATATAAATGCATCTACTTTGATGAAGTAAAAGGAATTATAGGCAATAAAAATGAGGAGTTGGTAGGAACAGGTGAGAAAATGTATAAAATGGCCAATATTTTCCTTCACTGCAGAGAATCAGTTGATGGTTCTATTAAAACCTTTAGGTAGCCCTTCCATTTCCTTCTATTTTTTTAATCTCCAAGGAAGAGAGAAGAGGGCAGAAGAGGTATAGATATTATAAAATTATTTGTATATCCATCTAGCTGCTCCCCGCCCCCAGTACATCTGCTTATTTCTGGATATAAGATTCTGGGTGATATGTTAATATTCTATAATTTTCTATGATGCTTACATTTTAAAATAAGAAGCATTTATTATTTTTTAAAAAAGCTCCAACTCTATTATTATTTTAATCAATGAGGTCCTAAAGCACTTTCAATTAAAATTAATCTGAGGCTGTTTGCTTAAGAACATTATGTAAGAAACTGGTTAACTGCCCTCTAGTGGCATTGTAATTTTGGGTGTGAGATATATACTAGCAAGCTACCTAAACTCTCCAAGTCTTTCATTCCTGATCAGTAAAATGGAGATAATAACAGTACCTACCTCATAAAGAGGTTGTGAAGGTTCAATGAAATACTCCATGTAATAGTACCATGGTGCTTGTTGCATAAGTGCTCAATAACACATAGCTACTGAAACTATGTTTAATATACTACATCTCTCTCAAAGATTCACAACATATTCTTAACCATTATTTTTAACCAAAGATAAAAAATAATAGAGCTCTACCATAGTCCAAGCACCTAAACTATTTTTAAACCTATTTGTATATGAAAAAGGGAAAGAAAACTAAAATTCAAAATATGGATTGATTCACATTTTAAACTACTCTTAATGATAAAACAGAATATAGTCTAATCATACCTCCTTATTATCTATTACTTCCAATGCCTGTTGATGCTCTTGGTAGAGTGGGTGTCTTCTGTCAGGCTTAATCTTAAAATGTGGCTTCTTTTTAACAGGATCTTCAAGTTCAAATGTTGGTGAACTGGTGTCCAATAGTTGTGAAATATTTGGCACAAATATGAAAGGCTTAAAAACAGATCTAGAAGAAAAAGCCTTTTATTAAATTGCCATGTGGAGATATAAAAATATTCAACATTATTCTAAATCTTGTAAGGTTTCCTCTAGTTATAAGTTTCTATTAATTTGTTACATACTAATGTGTTCCCGTCATACTAGTTATAGCCATGCCTGTCTTCCCTGGTATACTGGGATCTCCTTTGGGGCAGCAGACCACGCTTCAGTTAGCCTTGTATTCCCACGAACTTAACAAAAGGCCTGTCATATAAACAGTGTCAAGTGAAATTATCATTCCTTAGAGGTTAAGAATAATTCTCATTGTTACATATTGAGGATTAAGATTTTGGAAGAAAATCAGCAGCAGTATTAATAAGAAGTTCACAGGCTTTTCTTGAAAATACCTTCAATAATATGAAAGACTATAACACTGAAAGATAGTGAATATAAGATCATTTCTAAATGTAATGTGCATTAAGTTTTGTGACAGATACTAATGACTTAAGTCAAGATAGTCTATATAAATCCTAACAAACTTGAACTATTGATATTTTAAGTTTTACATGGATGTATTTTCTAGATGTGAATGCATAAGCAGCCATCTAAATCTGGCACACGACATCATTTACTCTTTTTATTAATTCTGATTAATCATCCAATATTATAATACTAAAGTCTGCATAAGAAAACCTCTCTACACTCTTTTCTTGACAATGCTAAGTGTGCTTGGGGAAAGAAAATGTAGGAATGACTGCATACAAGAAACTATTAATATTTCTTCCAACAAAAATGAGAATAGTTTTGGCAATTTTGCACATATGAAAATGGTGGACGAAAACCTGAACAGAAAATGCATCCAAAAATTATTTGTGTATTTGTGTAACAACAGCAACAACAAAAACTGACAAAATCAATTAAAAGACTAAAGACTCTTCACTACCCCTTAACCCCTTGCTGGTTTATAGTATCTTGTGACTTTACCTCTCAGGATCAGGAGTCCCAGTAAAGAAGTGAATACAAGGAAGGCTGGGGTCTTGAGGTAAAATAGAAACCATGCTTGCAGTGGTCAGGAATTCTCCCTCCATATTAATGCCACTTGGTTTATCTCGGAGAATTTCCATCATTGTTTCAAAAGTTATGTTTCCTAGGGAAATAATTTTTAAAACCATCAAATATGCATAAATTTGCAAGTTGGTATCCTGCAAATATGAACTGCTTTCTCTACTGATAACATATAAAATGAGATATTAGTCTAGGTATAAATTAAGAGATTGACTATAAACAAACTTTGTATCACAACTGTTAGACTCATTCCACTGTTGCAAGAAAGATATTTTTAAAAATATATATAGTCTCAAAACCATTAGAGCAAGTACAAAAATCTATGTAACTGCCTAAGAAGGAATCAATAATGCAAAATTACATTCAATCTCATTGACCTTACAAAAAATTTAAGGTGCATTTAGTTAGCAATGAACTGATGATATCAATGTTATCTGAGTCTATCCATTCTGAAAACCAACTATTAAGAGAATACTGTGCTTAGTTTCCAATACTATTATTCAAGATGGTCTTTACAAAATGACAAATTATTTTTTTCTGTAATAATTTCTGTGCCTAAAATTAATACTCTTATAGGAAAAGTGTGAATTGTAGTCTGAGTAGGAATGGAGGCATGTGAAAGACATTATTGGTTAATGGAATTTGTGCATAATTATACTAGGCTATAAAAGTTTAAATGTCCATTGTATGTGATAAAATAGAGAGTATTATATTCTGTTTTCTGCTCTCATGTAAAGTTTGATATTTTAAGATTTTTTTTTTTTTTTTTTAAGAAAAAAATCTATTTTATTTCTTTAGCAAACACAACATGTCCATGGTTACAGAAGAGCCTCAGAAGTCTGTATCTGGAAGGCATTTCCATCAAAAAATTTTAAAAGCCTAGCATGCTTTCAGGCAGCTCTGCTCCTTCCTATACATATCTATAGTCAAAGATGTAGTCTGGGATCTAACTACATCATGATAAAATGAATAATCTTAACCCCACACACTACAGTCCTCCAAAAGTAGCAAAAACATCATCTTCTCACATGTCAATTCCTCCTGAATCAAATTAAAACTCCTTCAAATGCAAACTTACTACTAAGCTTAACTGAAATGACTCCATCTATAGGCATTCCTTGATCTTTTGTCTATATTGGTCCTCGCTCTGCCATTAGGTTATAAATTCTTTAAATACAAGAGTGGGCTTTTTCTCTGTTTACTTCTCATTAAGTCAACAAATATTTATTGAGCACATTTTTAATGCCAGAAACTGTTCTAGGCAATGAAGAGAAAGACAGATAACAAGACAGAGATACTGATAGATACAGACACAGATTTGTAGATTTGTGAATATAAAGAAGTGAAAGTCTCCTGATCCAATTTCAGCTGAGGTAAGCACAGTTAACAATTCAAAAAGAATTTTTCCTCAAGAGTTTCAGGATACATTTTAAAACTTTCCTTTGAAGATAGCCATTTAAAGCAACACATTTAAAATGAGAATCAAAATTTCATGGCAAATAGTGGAGGAAAAGGATAGTCTTTAAAATGAAACAAAAATATTACAAAAATAAATTTATATAAGCTTATAGTTAACAATACTTAGGTTAAAATTCTACTACGTTAATACATAAAACAAAGAAAGAATCAAGTGCAATTTTCCCAATAAAATGGTAAGAGAATGTTACTTTATTTAACTACTGCAACAGAATCTTAAACATAATGTTTGCAAAAATATTTGAGGACTTTATCTAGTTTCTCAAGTCCTTAATCCATTAATATTCACATCATTTTCTTTTGAAGCACTTGCCATGTTATTGTACTCAGCTTTTTCTTCAATTCTTAATAAGTATACTTCTCTGCCTCATTTTTTGTCAATGGCTTTGTATTTGACTTAGCAGTTATCCAAAATTACTTTCATGGGCTTCTTGAAATCTTCCATATTTTACAAGACTTTCAGTTTACATTCTATTTTGTGTTGTGTATTGTGTTGTTGAGTAATCATTAAGAGACTGAGCAATAAAAATGCTGCCAGTAAAGCAGAAGAAAGGTAGTATTAAGTAGGGAAAGACATTTTAATAAGGACTAATGTCATAAACAGACAGTTCATCAGTGATTATTCTTTATGTTTAAGACTACGTTTTCTTCCCTAGGCAATGCTTGTAACTTTGGGGCATCAGACTGAAAACTCAGAAAAAATGGACATCCCTCCTTTCATTTATCACAGTTTTCTACAATCTTTGCTCCATTAACCAGCTGAAATATGAATAAAATGACTTCAATTTTTAAGAAAGTACATCTCCCCACTTTTCTTGTCTGGCCTAATTTAAGTTTGTACAAAGTTTATATTTCTAAAAGTATAATTCTACTAGAAAATTAAAATGGGACCACTGACATATAATTACCTACCTGAAAAACCCAAGAGAATAGATTTTAAAACTACCACAATAGGATATCAACAAGGTGTTTCATTATGTAAATGAAAACACTGAAGTTTTCTTATAAATCAAAAACAACAAATTAGCAAATTTCATAGAAAAATACCCCATTCACATTACTACACACACACACACACAAAAAAAAAAATCCAGAGAAAAACTTAAAAGCCAATGTGGAAATCAGTAATTTAAGCTTCACCTTAATAAACTAGAAAAAGAGCAAAATAAACCCAAAGCAAGCAGAAGGAAGGAAATAATAAAAATAAAAACACACACCAATGAAATTGAAAGGGCAGGCGCGGCGCAGTGACTGAGCATCGACCTAGGATCCAGCAGATTGCAGTTCGGTCCCAGTCAGGGCACATGCCCGGGTTGTGGGCTCGATCCCCAGTGGGGGCGTGCAGGAGGCAGCCAGTCAATGACTCTCTCATCATTCATGTTTCCCTCTCTCTCTCCCTCTCCCTTCCTTGCTCTAAAATCAATAAAGACTTTTTTTTTTAAAGAAAGAAATAGAATAGATTGGATAGAATAGATTGGATAGAAATAGAATAGATTGGATAGAAATAGAATAGATTCATTGGAAACAAAAATCTGGTTCTTTGAAGAGATCAATAAAATTGACACACCTCTCACTAGACTGAAATTCTTAGCCAATATCTCTTCAAATATTGTTTTTGCCCCTCCATATTTTCTCTTACCTTTCCTGCTGGGACGTTCAACTACACATATGTGAAACCTTTTCACTGAGACCCATATGCCTCTCACACCCTTATCTGTATTTTCCAGACTTTTATATCTCTGTCTTCATCAGGCTCTTTTCTACTGATCTTCCAGTGTACTATTTTTTTTCTTCTGTTAAGTCTAATTTGTTGTTAAACCAACATACTGAGTTCTTAATTTCAGTTATTATAATTTTATAGTTCTATTATTTCCATTTGGTTCTCTTTTACAGAGTTTGGTTCTCTGATAAATTTCTCCACCTGTTTATCTAATTTTCTTGAATATACAAAACATACCAATTTGAAAGTCTGTGTCCATTAAGCTAATGTATGATGTTTGTTTTTTACTGATCTCAGAGAGAGGAAGGGAGGAAGAGAGAAGCATGGATGTGGCAGAGAAACATCTATCTGTTGCCTCCTGCAGGCACCCTGACTGGGGATTGAACCTGCAACCTGGGTATGTGCCCTGACCAGGAATCTAACCTGCCACCTTCTGATGTACAGGACAGTGCTCCAACCAACTGAGCCACACCGGCCAGGGCCAACTGTTTTATGTTAACAGAAAATTTTTAGTTTCCCCATAGTACAGCTATGATTTCAAATTCAAGAAAAATAATTTATAAACAACTTGTTACAGGAGCAATATCTTTCTTTTAAATTTGAAAAAATACAGGAGGGGGAAAAGATACATATGAAAACAAGTCTTAATATTAAAAACTAAACAATAAAGCAAAAGCCCACCATTGGCACCTATCACACACATAGCTGCTGCACCTAGTGAGATTTTAAAATGATTCAAATCTAAATTCCTATAAGTGGCAAGTTTTAATGAAAACAGTGTCAGAACCATTACGCTGCGGTAATATAGGTATTATGAAAATGTTTTCTGCATTCAAAACCTACAATTCTCAAAATGAAAGGAGGATTTACATGATCACTTGAGTAGGGTAGCTATCAGTAATCCACTAGCAAGCACTGAATAAGTACTGAGACTTCAGTGGCGGGGTTCACTCAAATGAATGCGAAACACGGGGTGCAATTTTATTGCAATTTAAACTAGTTATTTAAAATACATGAGTGAATACAGATACAATTTGGATATTCATGCAGCACAGTTAATAGCTATCAGAGAGGGATAGTTGGTAAGCTCTTCCATCTAGAAAAATCATAGGAAAAAATTAACCATAATGTACTAGTAGACAATTTTCTATAAAAGTACAGGAGAGATATTTATTCTTTTGGCAAAGCACAGAAAGCTGGATGAACTGTACTTCAAACTTGGGAGGAAAAAATAAGTTTCATGTCAGGTGCACCTATTACTATAATCATATATGCATTTCAAACATATTATTCAGTTTTTTGTAGTTAAATAAAACAGAATCAATTATTATGATGCAGTGACTGAATAATTTGTAATTTTTTTTCTATTTTTTCTTCCTTTTGTTTAATTACCATAAACCTTAGGATTCTTTATTTTTTTTTTTAGCTTTTTTTTTCTCACCAGGGGATATTTTTTCCACTGCTTTTCAGAGTGGATGGGAAAGAGAGAGCGAGAGAAAGAGAGAAAGATTGATGAGAGAGCCACATCGACTGGTTGTCCCCCACACAAGCCCCGACCAAGGCAGAGGGATCAAGCCTGCAACCGAGGTATGTACCCCTGGCCAGAATCGAGCCCATGACCCTCAGTCCATAGGCCAATGCTCTAACCACTGAGCAAACTGGCTAGGGCAACCTTAGTTAGGATTCTTGACATTTTCCTCTCCACTTTATGTATTGTTGTTTTTATTTTTATGTTTTAATTTCTCTTTATTGTTGAAAGTATTACAGATGTCCCCTTTTTGTTTCCCCGTTGATCCCCTCCACCCTGCACC